CATGCGCGTCACAAACCCATCCATGGCAGAGGAAAAATATTCCAGGGACAATGCGGTACCGCGGTATCCCCCACCCCCCCTGAAGAACCGGAGGGACGCACGGATGATTGGCAAAACAGCGCAGGCGTACAGGACGCACAAAGAGGGGGTCTAGAGGGGCCCGCAGAGCGCAGCCCACAACCCCCACACGGCAACGTAGGAGAGTGTCATCCCTGCGTTCCAATCTACACCGCAGAAAATACCCCACGGACCGGAGACCACCAGGCAAAGGGAAGAGGGACCCACAGTAATTCAAGACCCTCAGCATTTATTCCGGCCCAGATAGCAGACCCTGAATTTACCAGAATGAAATAAATCCACATTTACACTTGAAAGCAAAATGGTGGTGGTAGTTAAATAGTAATGGTGATATTAATATCTAGCTTCTCACTGTCTGAGCAGACACCCATGCTGTACAATCGCAGCACTGCTGCACTCCATATGTCATATGGCTTCCATATGACTGTACAGGAATTTATACTTTACATGTGATAATAAATGTGACAACCATATTAAAACCATATGCACTAATTCTATAATATTCTGCTACAGTGCTTCTTTTCTTAATTCATTCACAGAGTGCACACAGATTGTCTTTGATCTAGTTTCAGTATAAAGTCATGATGATGCATTTATGCTGCCAATACACACAGGCAACTTTCTAGAAATTTGAAACAAATTCCACCTTTCAGTTGTAAAAGTTATTGAACAGAAAAATGCAATCCTACTATCATCCTTGCAATATAAACATAAAAACTACTGCTGGTAAGCTGCCTTCATCCAAACCCATATGAATATGCTGGAAAATCACACTCTTTATTGTAAGCATTAGGCCTTACCTCCAGTCACAAAGGCTACTAGTCCTAACTTTTATACTTCTACATTTAAAATAATTAGTATGGATATTTTTTTTTTATGCAAAGTGAAATTTAAAATGCAACTAGGCATTGGTTGTAGCCAGTTAGTGTAGCGATCCTAGCAAAACCTTGACTGTGATTGGTTGGTTTTGCTGGACACCACAACAATTTGCTCTGTGCTATTAAATACAGCTCCAAGTACTTCAAATATCTACAGAACGTAGATGAGTGTACACTTACCACCAAGACTAAATGCAGAGTGGTGCAAGTTTCGAACTGGTACAGTCTGCCTTGTTGGAGAACCTTTGGCAGACCCTGCAGGAATGCCAGCCTTGGGAGTTGATGACAAATCAAAGACCGGGCCATCATACATACCCCGAGGAACGGCATGGAGGTCTGCAATCTAATAACAGACAGAATTTTATTTCAGTAACAAAATGGCATACAGTATAACATCTTTGTGGAGACATCCGCCTTCAACTATTACTGTATCGGTACCTACAGACACTAGACATCAGCTGGCTGTGCATATACAATCTGCCCACCAAATGATTATTGCTATAAATAGCTATTATTGGGATAACTTGCCAATGGAGAAAGAAGGAGAGCTTTGCAGGCATGAGCCTATCATGGGGGAAAACAATGATTTGTGGAGAAAATATATACCAACCAATTCATTCTTCCCCATCAGGAATCAGAATCATTAAACATTCCCCAATCCAGCCATTGTGTAAACATTCTCTAATCTCTGTAGGCACCATAAATCACATGCATGGAAGTGCCCATCACAGCTAATCCTATTCTTCCTATAATTCATCCAGTGTAGGCTGGAAAATGAATTCAAGAATCCAAATGGTTATTACTTGCAAAACAGGCCATTGTTCCACAGACATTCATGAGTTCCAGAAGCCACACACAGGACATGTTAATGTAGTTGCTACTGATATTCAAAAGCATATTCTAATCTACAGAATGTGAAATAAATCCAAATCATAGTATTCGTATACTTTTCCATCCAAAAGCAGGTGGATTAAAAAAGTCATGGATTATAAATGTTTACATTTTATGAAAAAAAAAAAGGAACTTATATTAGCTCCAGGTATATCCCCAGATCTAAGTAAAAAAAATGCACCTTTGTATTGTTCTGTCCTGTTATATTGATTTACGGTTTTACTGATTTCTCTGCTCTTTAACATAATTGGTGATGTTAATTTGTACCGGTTTCTTTGTACCTCTTGCTATAAAAATTAAACTGAAAAAAGCATGTGCTTATTCAATAAAAAGTGCTATATGAGAGCAACATGCCAGATTTCCGTTTTCTGTAGTCAGTTCCATTAAAATCTCTGCTTGATTGCTGTGGGTGCTACACTACACCCATTACCATTGCCTCTATGAAAGTGTCTGTAGCAATATAAGACGTACATGTATAAAGTATGACATGTGGAAGTATACTCCTCATGAGGGAGAGCCACTGAGAAGGGAGCTAGATATACTCAGAGAGACCCTCTCCTCCTCCTCTAGAAGTGCAGCCAGACCAGATCAAAACCATCACAAATATTGTTTCCATATTACACTATCTGGTCCTAGCTTTGCATTACATCGGTTAAAGTAGAACTATGGTCTCCCATTAAGAAATATGTGCTCTAATTATAAGTGCATCTACTCTTACCATTTTCTCTTAGTCCACAAATTTCCACAAAAAGTTCCACAAATACCTGTTGATTGTGCCTGTAAAGTCTACTTAATGCAGCTTCCTGTGATGGTGTGGCAATGATGCTGCACTGCTCCTGAATTAAGAGCAGGGTTGTCACTCTCATGTAAGGTTACCTGCTTGCCCTACAGTGGGATGAAACAATGCTGTGGGGGGCGAGGCAATCAGCATTGTTACTTCTGATTCACAAGCCTGTAGCTTGACAATCAACAAATGGCCACAACTAGTCCTGCTTACTGCTTTCTGGATTGGCAGGACTGTCTTTTTTGCTGAAATCCTCTCACTGTGAGCTTCAGTGTCTGGGAGAGCGTGTGAAACACAAATGAAGGCGGGTTTGGCTCAGTCAGGGAAGATAAAAGAAGATTTTTGTTTACTTGATGAGGCTTGTGCATCCCATAGTAACTGGATTTGGTACTTGTTTAGACTGTTATACAGGAGCCTTTAGTTCTACTTTAAGCTAATTTCCTATTTCACCTAATATTGGTGTTTTTTTCATTGATGACTGCTATTTTGGTGTCAGGTGGGTTATTCTTACATTAATGAAACATATGCAACTTTAAAACAATAAAATTAAAAATAGTCCTCCCTTATGTGATCTGTGTCTTACCTTAGTCCTGGCTTTGATTCTCTTGTAGACATAGTCAGGGAAAGGAGTGCAAGGAATGAAGCGCCCTGTTCCTTGGGTGGCATGAAGGGTGCCATCCTCCAACATGATCTTGCCTTGGCAGATTACCACAAGTGGTGCTCCTCGGAGCTCCATGCCTTCAAAGATATTATACTCTGCAGCCTAGAAAACACATCATGGTTTGTTACAGGAGGTTTATTCTAAGTTCTCACCACTCCTATGCTACCCACGCGTAGTTCAATATATTGCTTCTATGCTTATTGTAGTAAAGCTTAGCTGGTATCAGTATACTCATATAAAATACACAATCATATATGTGCAATCATATAAAAAGACAAATGAGGTTGGAAATATTTAATCCAATATGACTCATATGGTATACTGTGCTTCATAAGAGTATGATTCTGTGAGAGGTTTTCTGTGGCTGTCCATGGGTTTGTACAATTGGGGTTTTGGTATTAGTGGCATAATCGTATAATCTTTTATGTACAATCCTTTTTTGCATGAAATATCACAGGGCCAAACCAAAGAAAATTCGGATCGCTAAGACCCATTATCTTAACGCACACGTGTTGCAGTGTGGCTGCATTGCCCACTACTGTAAGTGCATCTGGGAGCCATTCAAAATGATTGGCATTGTAATGCTGTGCATCATGGTTCACACATTATGGTAACTGGTAAAATAGCAAAGGGCAGATGCAAATGGAGCCTTTAAAGAGAACTATGGGGTCAGTGTTTTTCCCCATAGTTCTCCAAAGAGTAACGGGAGGACACAAACTAATGTCCTCCCGTCACCCTAAGCTCAGTATACCGCGAGCTACAGCTCGTGGTATACTGAGATGCCGCAGCCGGGACAGATCCTGACAATACTGTCAAGATCCACCCAGCTGCAATAACTTGATCTTAAAGGCCACATCACTAAACATTAGAAGAATCCCAGAAAAAAACAAAACATGATTGTAGAGAATCTGCAAAAACATTTTAAAGAGTCAGGCTACCTCAAACTGATATTTCCGTTTTTAAGCAAAGACAAAAAGAACCTAGGGTAGAGGGCAAAAGCATCTAAAAGTCACCTCTTCAGGACACAGGATGCATAAACAGCACTGTGTGTAACTGGTTATTTCAGTTTTTATTGGACACTATAAAGTTTAACAATCTGGCAGTGTCTGCTGAGTTCCTGGGTCTGTTGTGGCCATTATAAGGGTTCTCACTTCTCCCACTGGATTTGCATTTAATTTTATTGTGGAGAATACCCCAGGAGAAGCTAAAAAACACAAAGATGGAATGAGATACCCAAAACTCACTGTTGAAGCATCCAAGAGAAGAATAAGCCAGAGGCTGTCACACCCCACCAGTCTCTATTAATTAGATTTTTGTAGACTGATCCTTTATAAATACTAGAAACATGACCTAAAATACATTCTGAGCTACAATAGCTCTAGTGATTTCATATATTCTACTTTATTTGAGACCAAAAGGGAAAACATTTAAATGACTTTTGTTTTATAACTTCCTGCTGAGTATGTCATACAACAGTATTGTCCAATAATGAAGTGTTGGCATATTTACTTTCATTATCTGGCCCTGACCATGTTGGCTTCTCACCCTCTCTGGTGGACAGTTCCAAGGGATGCTGTCATCCAATTAGATCACCAATGTTTACTGCTATAGAGGCCAACACTGTAATGGTGCTCTAACTCATCCTGTGTCCCGGAGCTACAGGTCATACACTCTTCCTATCAAATATCCTATCTTCTACACACTTCACAGAATAACTTACAGATTGATGGCTTTTGGCAGAAATGATTTTCACTGCATCGGGATCCCAGATAACCAAGTCACTGTCTGAGCCCACAGCTATTCTCCCTTTCCTGGGGTAGAGGTTAAAGATCTTGGCAGCATTGGTACTAGTGACAGCAACAAATTGGTTTTCATCCATTTTGCCTGTAGCCTGAATAGAAAAAATATATATATATTATTCAATTAAAATGTCTAACAATTACTATGTGTATCATTGTAAAGTTGTAACTTACTGAGTGGTGTGTCATTAAATGCTTCAGTATATTGGTGAATGGGCCATGTCCCATGACTAAGGTTTTACGAAACATCTATCTGTCTTTTAAACCCTGAATAGCTTTACATTTGGTAAGCATTTACAGAGAATCTGTGCTGCCTTTGAAGTGGCACTACAGCTAGACTATTTTTTAAATTTAGAGTATTATTAAACTCAAG